CTAAAAAAAGCCCATGACTCCTCTGATGTCTGTATTTAGCAGTCACCATTTGCTAGACATTTCTGTGACCAGCACAGTGGGGTACTCGCTAGTGAAGCCAACATTACATAGAAGTTCAAGACTATGAACTTCTCTGTTCCCCATAAATACAGCCATTTTGGTCCACTAAACTCTCAAGCCTCATCCTACAAAACTACTGGCAGAGGGTGGTTGGGATTTTGTCCTTTTCCCCTTCTAGTGCTAAATTAAGCCAGACCCAGTCTTCAGTAACAGAGTGAGTCCCCTCAACAGATGCAAGGATGCTGACGGAGCAGGACAGCAGGCACCCCATTCTTGTCCGCAGCGCAAGCAGAAAGAGGATTGCCTGGCAGTTCAGAGAAGTCTGCACTCTACACCCACTCACCGGGCAACCTGCCAGCTCCGCTCAGGGATGGAATTAAAGCAGAATTTAACCAGGCAGGCAGCCTGGCCTCAGGAGCATGATCCCCCAGACACCGAGTGCCTCCTTAGTCATCCCAAGTGCCACGGAGGAGCCGTGTCTCCCAAGACGACAGAGCACCTGAAGAGCAGTGCCCCAGGAACAGAAGGCCTGCATTAGGTGGCACGGGAGGTGACACCGCAGCAGCACTGATTCACCCAGCATCGCGCTCATCAGCGCAGCGCTGCAGCAGACGCGTGGTGCTGGAGGGCACGCCGAAGGACACTGCCGCACGCCGAGCTCCGGAGGTCCCGGGGTCAGCAGGAGGCACGTACACAGGGTGAGGACCAGCAGCTAAAGGCTCCCTGTCAGGAAAGGGTGACAGTGCAGACAGTACAAGAGAACATCACAGCCCAGCTGCCACGGTCCTATTGATCACAAGGACTTTCTACGCAGCAACAACAGAACCAGCCTGTTATTACTTGGCTCTCGACACCAGCCCAGGGTGACTGATTATTAAACCGAGAAGTGTTTGTTCTGCCACCCAAGCCTTAATCCACGTGCAACAAGAAAAACTGCACTGCAAGGACTCCGTGTTCTTTGTCTCCAGCAGCTCCAGGTGTGATACAGTCACCCCAGCAGAAATACTTTTGGTCAGTCTGTACTGCACGAGTGAGTTAAGCATCACTCTCAGCTCATCCTGAGCTGGTGAGTACAATAAGCCAACCTGACACAAAATTATGGAAAGCAGACCCTCAGGCAACCTAGGCTGAACCAGAAACTCAGCAGCACAGTACCCTGCGTGACGTTACCAGCTACGTTTCCACAACCTGTCCATCCCATCCGTGCAAAAAATAGAACAAAACCAAACACCCCCCCAGTACCCCACAGGCACAGTCATAGCTAGGCTGCTTTAAGAAGCAAGCTCAGATCACAGCACACAACCAGGGAAAATGTGCCAGTAAAATAATCCTTCTCTCTTTAATGCAGGAAAATGGTTTCTAATATCCAAAGCATGATTTATGTCCAGGAATAGGAGATTTTCCACCCTAGCACCAACACAGCCACATGAGAGATCTTCAGCTGCCACGCATGCGATCAACCTTCCTGGGGCAGCTGGCACAGCACAGGCAAGAAAACATACCCAGAACCTCCCACTGCCCCAAAGATCTTCGTTACATGCAAGAACCTACTTCTTATTAGTGCTGGAAGAAGCTGTCCAGTGCAGAGTGCTCCCAGGATCTGACAAGTTCAAGAGTTACGTTCCTACCATTGAACCCCTCTAGATAATCAAGTGGTCTCTGGTCACAGATTCAATGTCCAGAGTCACAAAAGAAACCAAAGGAAGTCCCCTAGACCAGACCACATGCTGCTAAGCTTTCACTGTCAACATGTCTGAAAAGTTGAGCTGATCCTCAGAGTTCCGGAAATCCGTTTTTCCTGGAAAACCAGGATTTCCAGACCAAGCCCTCATCTGGTGGGAACCATCATTTGTATCCTTGTTGCTGCTAATTTCTACCTTAAGGAACAAGAGCTCATTTGGCTGTCTTCAAACAGGGCAAAAAGACTTCTGGTATCCAGATGTCCCTCTAGACTGCTGCACTGCCCTCGACTGCTGCAGCCCGGACACCCCAGCTCCAGCCCGCTGCAAGCCAGACAAGGAGCCAGGGATCGTTCAGTAGCAACTAATGCGCTCCACATACGGTGGAACACAGTTTTTACTTAATGCCAAACATCTCCTGTGCCTAGGAATGATCCGCAGCACACCTCCACACAGACACTAGATAGACAGTACCTTTAGAAACGCAATACAATATATGATTTATCCTTTTTGACTGTGGGTTCTTGCATCAGGCTCTTAGGCTATTCTGAGCACCTCTCATTAATACATGAGCACATAATAATGGCAACATGCATATTTCATTTTGTGAGCCATTCTCACGTAATGATGCTGCTCTTAGGACTCCAGTGAGGGCATCTATTAAAGTCCAGACTCTGTACTTCTATGCATTAAACTTTCACCAGCATCATTTATTCCTAGGAAGCTTCTTATTTTGTCATTCTTTATGAACCAATATCACGAAGATCTATGAAACAAGCAGGAACACAGCAATTTTCCTGGATTTGAAGGATAAAATGAGGATGCCAGGGCGAGCAATGCTGTATTAAGTATCAGCACTGCAAGTGTCTGTCTGGGGCAAACCTGGCATTACATGAAAAATCTTCGGTTGCATGAGGCCTGGTTAGCATTAGCTCTTAAGTAGGAAAAAGCAAACGAAAGCATCATTGGGTGTAATCACTTGCTTACAGCTGCTGTGGTTTTGGCAACCATTTCCTTGTGTGTAAGGAACAGGCGAGTAAAAGTTCAAGTCAGTGTTGACAGGAGGTGCAGAGGAAGGGACGACACAAAGTGCAACGACAGCCCGAGCTACAGAGCAACATTAAGATTCACAGGAAGTATTTTTTCCTTTTCACTCTAAGATGTTGTAACTCCAGAATAAACCTCTTGAGTTTTAAAAAGCCTACAAAAGTAAGGGCTCAGCTAACTGCAACTATCACATTTTTGAGGGTAAGTAGATACATGAGCTATGAATGAAGCAATCTTGTATCAGAGGAAGAAGGCGAGTAATAAGTAGTCCTTTCCACAAAGTAAGGAAAGGTAGGCAGAAGCCAGCCTTCCACAGAACTGTACTTTTACCTTTGCAGATGATTTACTCTCACACAGAGAAAGGTAAAACGCCCTGACATATGACACACACAACCTGTGCGGGTGGGTCGCATCAGGCTTACACCAGAGGAGACTCCGCACCCTGGCAGCACTATGTAACACCCCACGCCACCCCTAAGTCATCTCATCTTGTCCAAGAAATCCAATTACCCAGGTCATACCAGGACTCTTTGACAAAGCTGGTAACTAAACATACACCTGGGCATGCCTTGAGCCCAGGACCATTCTCCAGTTCCCGCTTCGCAGTATCTTACACAGGTTCTTGCTAGTATCTCCCCAGGCTACGCTGCTTTACACAGAGCTTAACTAAAGCTCATTCGCCTTCACGTAAGGAGAAAAATGCACTGCTGCAGTTGTAACAGTGGTGAAATCAGCCCTTTTGCAGGAAATGTCTTTGTGCTGCTGCCCACCCGGCAGTTGTTTGAAGCAGGGCAAGGAACAGAACATGAACAAAGGTTTTGATAGAGGGGCAATAAGCAAATCCAGCAGCATTAACGCTATAAAAACGCAAACTCTAGAGGAAGCGCCGGAGTAGCCACTCACTCCCTCAACTGAAAAGTTAAGTAAACTTAGAAGGTAGGGAGGAGAATGAAAAAACACAGAGATCTGATGCCCCGAGTGGCCTGTGCCCAGGGGAAAACGTCCCTGGCTCCGTGTGATCCGCAGCACGCGTCAGGCCACACGCAGTCTCCACTTCGCAAGACCAGCTCTCAAGGGCGGTTCGGGAGCAACGCAGAGCCGGCCTTACCCACAGGATACTCCCGAGAAGCAGCCCTGCTCCCAGCAGCCTCCCTGCCCTCCCGGAGCAGCCTGAAATCCCCCACCTCCACCCCTCGCCAAAACAACGCCAGCATTAAACTCTGCCCAAGGACCTGGTCCCCACCGGCCCCTTGCCACAACCCCTCGCCGCGGCGGAGAGGGACATGGTGGGCGACAGAGCCCCGGGGCCGGGGTGCCAGGCTGACTACAGCGCCCAGAAGGCGACGCACGACGGCTGGCCCCCC